TGGTGGGGTTTGCCATGTGCTCAGACTAGCCGGGACCAGCCATGGAATAAGGCTGGGTCCTATTCAGCCTGCCCCCCCAGGCTAGGCCTGAGGCCTGGGGTTGGCCATGGGCTGGTGTGGGGGAAGAGGTTTCCCTGAGGCCTACAACATGGAGGAGGCCTGTGATGCCGATAGAGGAAGAGAACCGGGACCAATGCAGGCTCTTGAAGTACCCTTGAACTAAGTGGACTTCAGGAGCATGGTCGGGGTCTTTCCTGGTTGAGGATCTCCATCCATCCTGCCTATCTGCTACATCAGTTGCTGTCTGCTTTTTCCCAAGTGGATCTACACTGATAGTCCTACAAGGTCTGGTGAGTCTGGAGCTCTTGTCGGTTACCCATGTACACCTAGAACCCCCATACCCTCTCTCCCCAGTGAAGATATTCAATTGTTTACTTAGTATTTTACTACTGGAGTGGACATCAGTTTATGGGCACCAGAAAAAGGGCGGTTAGTGCTATTGGATGGGCAGCTGAAGATCATACCCTAGACAGAAATGAACCGGGCATCCAGCAGGCTCTTTCGGGGGTGAACGCTACACAGGCATCCCTGGCCTGTAATTAAAAGGATTTGGGATTTTCCCATGTTGCCTGTGAAATCACATAAAGAGTACGCTCTCTTAAATCTGGCATTGGTACTTGCCCTCCATGGCAATGCCCAGCTTCCCATGCCTTTTTTTAACAATAGCTTGTCTATTAGCCCTAAAATAGGCAGAATTTGCTTACAGGATTCCCCCCTTCCCCAGATTTTAATAGGATACACTGCTACGTTTCAAACAGTATATTCCAAACCCTCAGTGAATCGAACCCAGACAAATTTGCTCATTCCTATTGATAGCATAGCGATGGCTGGGAAGCATCCTTTCTTTCCTGCAGTTGGGTCTGGTACTTGTACCTCCATCAGAAGCCCTTGTAACAGGGTGACAATGCAGGAGTACAATTGGGAGACAGGGACACAGCATTGCTATACTATGATTGGAAGTCTCTGAACAAGGACCATCATGGCAGGATCACCTGATATTGCAAATTTTAAAATGTTGAACATTTTGAAATTGCATTAACATTGTAAAGCTAGGGATGCACCGATACCGGTTATACCATATTTTTTTAACGGTATTCGCAGATACTGAATACCAATACAGGTAGGGTTGCCACCTTTTCTTTTTTCAGCGAAACTGACATTTTTGTGGGAGAATGAGTCGTGGTTTATTCATATGTAAATAGCATCACCCATTCATATGTAAATATAACAATCAAGACTATTTTCAGTGGGGGGGGGCAGTAGCCTCTATCTTCATTTTGGTTGCCCCATGTCTGTCTGACATCATGGGGGTGATTTACTAACCTAAAACACACGCATTTTTACACAGCAAAACGTATTTATCAACCAAACACAAGCAACGTGTCACATTTTTACGCCGTTATGGTGCGTTTTTATGTATTTACGTATGTGCGCGTCATGTAGCATGCGCCATAGGCTACACGCCGCTCTAATAGTCTATTAAAGCATATTTCCACTAATGCCATATATGGAAAAATCATGCACATGATGCATATATAATGCTGCTTCACAGTTTAGACAAAAATGGTTAGCTCATGCATTTACATTCCTGCATTCATCAACGCAAGCAACACAACGTAGAGCTAATTTACACAACATCACCTTGCAATTCTTGCAGGGCTTTGCACAACACACCTGCTGGGTGTGTACACCCTACAAAGGTGTCTAGATTCCACCAATAGATCATGCTGGGAGGGAACACTCTACAGAGGTGTATACTTGTTCGTGGCATGTTTATAAGGTTAGTAAATCAACCCCCATGTGTCCGGGTTTTAGCTGCCATGAAACCCGGACACAGCATTCAAAACCCGGTCTGTCTGGGTGAATCCTGGACAGTTGGCAACCCTTGATACAGGCATCCATGGGCCAGGATTATCAGGAAGCCGGACGGCAGGCCATGACCCATCTCCCAGCTTCCTGATGGGTCAAGAAGCCAGGCTGCCTAGCAACAAGCGATCGTTATCGCTGCATCCCTAGTTAAAGCTTATATGATGTGTTAGTGAAGTTTAACACAATTATTCAGTAATTTACAGTAATTTAACACAATTATAATAAATCCAAGACTGCAACATTACAATAAATACTCCACAACCTAGTAACAATACAATATACCTAGCAACATAATATACAAGCATATACAATATTGCACAATATACCAAAAAATACACCAAAGAACACCTGAGACTTTATTAATAGGGCCAAGATGACTTGAATGTGCTTACAGAATTCAAAAAGTATCTTTTACCTCATTTCTACTAGTGATAGAAATTTTTTGTGATGTTTCTTCCCCCTGCTTCAGATTCTGATACTGATCAGTTTAGTACAACAGTACAATGTTACTTGTGGTTGTAAATTGAACTCCTGTTGTCAACTTTCAGCAATATCCCTGGTTATGTATATGTCATTAGTTATGTAATACGGAGAATCAATGAGAAATGTCTCTGATCTAGTGGCAAATATTAATGTCTCGCATTGTTCCTGGTGATCCAGTGGTCATCCAGTAATACATTTTAATGTCCAGCAATGTTCCTGGTGATCCATTGATACGTTATAATGTCCAGCAAGAATGGACTCTAGTAATAAACATCTTTCAACTGTACCAAGTTACCTTGTACAGTACAGATTTTAAAAACGTATTCTATGTTCGGAGGCATGTGCTGATCTGTACCGGGCTTTATCTTTTGTATTGGCTTTTGACCCTCACCCTGTGATAGAACTGTGATACTCCTTCCCTTCCAACAATCTGTGTGCAGCTCCTCATCATGCAACTCACAGGGGGGGTTGCTTTTCATAGAACCCATGTCCAGACCCTTATTGGCTGGCAGTGGTGATATGGTAACACTGGGGCTTTCCTAGAATGAGCAGCATGAGCCTAGCTGGGATCCATTCCTTTGAGACACATTAGCAGGTACGACCTCAAGGATGGAGGTAGCACTGTAAAGGGGGTAGCTTCGTATAGGGACATAGAGAGGATAACAGTTTATAAAAGCGCAGAGGGGGCAGAACAATGTGAGGGCAGCACTGTAAGAGGGCCTGAAGGAACAGCAGTGTGTAAGGGCACAGAGTGGGAAGGTCTATTTGGAGGCAAAACTAGAAAGGGTAGCAGTGTATGGGAGCATCGATATTATAATTTAAACCTAAACCAAAATGTTGGTATTTCTGTCTATCCAGTCCTGAGATTTACACAGCCCTGACACACAGAACAGCTAAGTTGATGACCTGAGTTTTCTCTACGGGAGTTAAGCAACATCACATGGTCCATGCCCCCAGCTTCTGACTGGATAGTGAAGGAGTGCTGTACTCTGACAAGGCTTTCTCATTCTATTAGCATGCTGCTTACCAGCACATGTACACTGCGTCCCTCCTGATTGGCTCCTTGTTTTGCCCCTCACTCTCCTGATATGCTGCTGTGCAAAGGAATACAGGAGACTCATACTAAATCATATTCAAATAATTATGCTAGCTGAATTTTAATAATACATCTGATCCTTTTAAATAAATACATAACCTAATTTGTTACTGTTTATATCTCTTAAACCTTAACTACAGTACACACCTTTAACGATACCCAGGATAGTAGCCATGATCAAGATACTAGTCAGCCATACAACCAGTTGGAGCATATTGCAGGGATCCCAACCTGAAAAACGTAATTTCAGGGAGGTTCCCTTCTCATTTCAGGGAGGTGCCCTCTGTTCCCCCCCTCCCCCCACAGGGGGGTGAGCACCCCCTGAAATGATGGCAGATAGCAAAGAAGCTAATGCTTCCTGTGCTATCTGCTATTTTATTTAGTTTGTAGTATTCTGACAGCTGCAGCGCCAGAATGAAAAACAAAGAGACAAACAAAAAAAACAGCATAGGAATGAATAGCTAGATTGCTATTGGCTATTTCAATTTGCAATAGCCAATAGCAAGCTGGCTGTTGCACCCGCCCTCTGCTGCTGTCAATCAGCAGAGGAGGACCTGATGGAGAACTTCAGGTCCACCTCTGCTGATTGACAGCAGCATTGGGCGGGTGCAATAGCTAGTCTGCTAATGGCTATTGCAAAATGAAATAGCCAATAGAAGCCTAGCTATTCATTCCTATGCCGTTTTTTTTCTCTTACTGACGGCGGACGGCGGCCCCGATGTCAGAAAAAAAAAACATACACAAGGGAAAGGTTGTACTCTGCTAGATCGAGCAGAGTAAACCTTTCTGGGAGAAAATGTTTCTCTCCCGAGTGTCTGGGAGCCGCTATCTAATAGCGGGAGACTCCCGGAATGTCAAGGAGAGTTTGGATGTATGCTATAATAATGTTGGACCAGCAGTGACAAATGGGAAGTGATAGGGAAGGGGACCAAGAATGTCTGAATGAACCAAAGTTCTGTTTAAATATTAGATCTTCATGGGCTTTGGGCCTTCCATGGAGTGCTACAAGGTAAGTGAACATTCATGTAGGCATTGTTATGTGTTTTAAAATATATCTAAAATCCAAAAAGTGTGCATGACCTTCAGGACCCACACACAGAGGTAGAATACAGCTGAAGTATTGGGTGATAATAAAACTGAGGCCAGAACCCAGCCAGAGGCTCAAAAACCTGAGGCCGTGTATCTTGTCTGATAGTTTACAACCCATTGACAGATCAGTTTGACAGAAAAAGTGCCAATCTGACAACAGTGCTAGCCAATTTTCTTTCAGTTTACATTGTAGCTGAAAGCAGTTGTTGTAATGTTTAATTGCCATAATGCTTTACATCAATAACCACATAACACAATAGGCACACATATTCCTATCTATCTATCTATCTATCTATCTATCTATCTATCTATCTATCTATCTATCTATCTATCTATCTATCTATCTATCTGTTTTAGTTTAAAAAAACAAGTAATACAAGGTTCCTTGATGATCTCATCTTACCTTTGGATTTAAAACGACAGCTGATCCTCCACTTATGCTGATAATAGGTACAAGAGTCTGTGAGGAAACAAAGTCTAGAATCTGGGCCACTGCTTCTGTTCCAATGTTATCCTGAAACACCACTGCATGTGCCCCTTTTAGTGCCATACACAGCTGGCGCAAGAGTGGCCCCGGGCCACTGTCGTTGACATACACGGGGACTGTGTGAATGTCGAGAGGAAGATTTACAGATCCTTCTGGAAGAAGAGGTCCCAACAAATCCATCTGAGCAAATGAACCCCCAAATATAAGAGGCACATTCACCACAGGTCCTCCAGCTCGAGGTAGTAGCGTTTCCATTACCACAGCACCACACCCTAGTGCACCGAGAAAAAGACAACCCATGGAATAAGCCAGGAACATGTCAAAGACTGAACCTGCAGGTGAAGACAAGAGTATGTTATCCTAGTCTACACATTCACATAGTTGCATATAGAGTAACAGTAATAGCACACGTTTATCTCAATTTGCTTGTCATTATACAGTAAGAAGGAAGATTGCGGAAATCTATATTGCAAAATATTGTAACAAACGATGAATAACCTGGCATTTGTAATGGGATTTTGAAAAATGGAAAGGAGTTGACCATATGGCCCTTGCAACAGAGTTTGGTACTTTAAAGTAACCAATCACAAGTTATCCTTCTATGATCGGACTTTGGTTCATTGCTATGGTTTACTGCACCTGGTTTACTGACATGTATGATGATAGAGTGGTACTTTATACATTGCAAAAGCCTGGGCCTTAAATATTTGTCTTTTTGTGTGCATTGCCTCACAGCAACCTGTTAAAATCTAACCTACCTAGTATTTGGACAGCAAGAGAATGTTATTATCTGGAAGCTATAGGACAATGCTGAGAGTTTTTATAAAAAATGTTTTTATAAATGAGACCCGCTGAGTCATGGGCTTAAAGGGCAGTAAAAGACAACAACAAAAATAGTAAGGAGCCTTGCTAGGTACAAAAAGGTAAACAAAAGCACACATTTCTACTATTGATTAGTGAAATGACACCAATGGCAGCCAACAGGTAAACATCACCTGAGAAGAAGTACATTAGCATCATGTGGAAGAAGGAGCATAGTCTAAGAAAGTATATCAGAGCAGGTTGTCAAAAATCTGCATCTTAAAGGAGGAAACATGCTGTGAGAGGACAATGGGACATACAGAAGACACTACAATGTATTTTTAGGCATACCATGAATTATTCATGGGTGGATGTGCCAGCCGATCCTGTGACTCCTGACTGAGCAGCATACGTCATACTGAGATCATACCACATAACCAGAACCAGACCTCAAACACAGCCAGCACTGAGCCAAAACCTGAACTGCATAAACTAGAAACCTGATCTATAGACAATTGTGCCCAAGACGCCCTGAAGAATCATTAAGACAAATGCATCTCTCTTAAAAGAAAATCTCACCTTTGCTATGCCACAATGACTACGCAACACAAATCCAAAATGGAAAGAAGCTGAAGATGCCAAAGCTAGATTTTGAATCATCTGAACCAAAGCAAGTCTAAATCAAAGCATCAAGAACCTGGAAAATCCTAGGTGACTGAGGATTATATGGGTGAATAAGGCCTGCCATGCCACCACGAGCCAGATCACAGTGTTGGGACCTCCAGTCGTTCAGGTATATCCTCTGCAACTGAAAACATCAGTAATCAAACAAAAGTTAGAAGCATGAAAGCATTTCCGCACAAGGACTGAGTTATCCACCAAAGCACTGCATCCGCTTTTCGAAACATAGAGGAGCACTAAAGGACTATGGCACAATGTCAGCTACTCTGCAGGTGGTATGATACTCGAAGCTACTTTGGAGCCAGGCCTAATAATGTAGGTGCCTCAGCAGCACAGCTTAATTATATGAGCTAAACTAGAAAGTGGTAGAAGAATGTTGATTTTGCAGGAATGTGGCAAAATGCCATGCACTGGCTCAGGAGTATGGCATAATGCAGTGGGCACAGCACAAACGTGGCATATGGCTCCCGGGGCTTCTTGGGAGCACAGAACTGGAAATACGTTAGTTAGCTCAGTCGTTTGTCTTCATTAGGCTCAAGCTCAAAAGATGCACAACTGCTTTGACTGCTTCCTTCTTCTGAGCCACCTGCTGCCGCCATGTCCCACAGAAAAGAGAGCTGAAGTGCTATCGCAGGAGAGACACAGGTGGAGTGCAGGATAGACGTTGGTGGGTAAGAGTTGAAAGCAGAGCGAGAGAGTTAATAAAACAGGTGGAAGAGGAAATCAGCCGAATCATCAGTAAGGTCTGCGCTAGCCAGGTAACGTTCATCCCTCACCTGCCCTGAGCCACAAGCCGCACAGGAAGAAGCCAGCAGAACGTAATACAGAGAACAGAGCTCGCAAAGCCAGCTGTTAGAAGAAGAGCGCAAAGGAGACACATCTAAACACAAGGATAGGGAAAAGAAAAAAAGAGAGAGGGAGAGGGAATGGAGCACAGAACTATACAAAAGAGAGCAGATAAAGTATGAAAGGAATGAATGAGGAGAGCAACAAGAAACGTGAGAGACTTAGAAAATGCAAAGAGTGAGAGAAAGCAAGGAGGGAGGAGGTAGTACAGGGTGAAAGAGAGAGAGAGAGAAAGAGGAGGGGGAATAAGGATGAGGATGGAGTGAGAAGTGTGGGACACGATGAAGGGGAGAACAGGATGGAGAGAGTGAATTGGGAGGTATGTAAAATGGGAGAGGGAGGAAACAGACATCGGGGAGGAGAAAGAGACAGGTATCAAGAGTGAAAAGAGAGGCATGAGAGAAAGGACAGTATCAAGGACAGAGACAGAGAGCGAGGGGAGCTCTATATCACTCACTGCTAAATGAGCACTGCTTGTCCATGGCTGGGTGTCATACACAGTATACTTTCAGTCTCTGCTCATCTAGGGATCTTGTGTCTCTCCCTTTTCCCAAGGCTCTCTTTCTGACATCGAAAGCTCTTTATCTCTTGAATTATGTATTAGGGCATATATGGTGTTCACCAGGCATGCCCTGTCCTTCTACCTGATACCTTTGAAAGAGGTTTACTATAACGCACAGTGCTACAGTGCTCTCCCTACTTGACTTCATCTCATCATGTAGAGATTTTTTCTTATAGTACTTCAATGTACAGGCATCTTCTCTCTTTTCTTTCTCAGGTACTGGCTGTCACATTTTATAGATCTTGACTTCTTGTTTTCTTGATAAGCTCGGTGCAATTTCTTTCAATCCTTTTTTTCTCTAACTTTTTGTTGAATCCTGTGGCAAATGTTTTTTAGACAACTGGCAGCTTGTAGTTTGCATGCATTTAGACGAAGCCCTGTACATGTTGATATGTGCCCTTCTTATATATCTATGACCTTAGTGGCCAACATATCAATGGGTTTATGTTAGATCAATGGGTTTATGTTAGATCAATGGGTTTATGTTAGATCAATGACTTTATGTTAGATCAATGGCTTTATGTTATATCTACATCTATTTGTTATAACTGATCTTGTGGAATATATATTATATGTGTATAATGTATAAACAAGTGACCTTACATGCTTGCAGGAAGCCTTGTTGTATAGCAATAACTAGAGAGAATATTACACGATGTATTATTTGTGAAAATCATGTGTGCTATACAAAAATTTACATAGCCATTTATGCTTCTGCTATATAGCCCAGGACTATATTTGTAGAGGTTCCCAACGAAAATAAGGTTATCCATTCATTCCTAAACAACGGGATTACACACACATTTACACACACTCATATACACATTCAGGGAGAGCTCATTCTCAAGCAGCCCCGACTGTACATACAGTATGTATATACACACAAACAACACAAACATATATAGGGATAGATAGATAGATAGATAGATAGATAGATAGATAGATAGATAGATAGATAGATAGATAGATAGATAGATAGATAGATAGATATACATATAACACATAACTAAATGTTTTTGATTCCATTCTGCAGTAAGACACAAGGTGTTGCATTAGCAGTTTCCTTTCTGTCCGATGAGCTTGTGTATAAATGCAGAATGCGGCCAACACATTAAAACTAAGGACATATTTAATATGCAAACCTTTATAATGTATAAAAAACATAGCAGGTCACTGTGCACCACTGAATTAGATATACTATTGTATCTTGACAGTCTTCAACCCATTTTGGTTTACTCTATTTTAATTAGCTGTACTTTTACCATTAAAAAAAAATACATTATTTATTTTTATTAAAACCCCTTGACTTTGAAAGTTGTAATTGTGTTTTGCACTGTCTGTATTAGATACAAGAATACAGTTTATTCCTCACATAGGGTTTTTGCATTTAAAGGAAACCTGTCATCAGAAATATCTAGGGTGCCATTGCTATCCTTTTGCTGAAAATGCTAGTGTTCTGGCTTTATTGTTTAGGCAATGGCTTTATTACATTTTAATCACTGCAACAAAACATTTTGGACTACTATGATGCTTAATATTGTTTATATGCATGTTGTCCTGCAGTAGTACTGGTCTACCACTATCTTTGTCAGAAGAACATGTGATGCCTATGTTATGTTGTGCTCATCTTGCCCATTCTCTTGGTATTCTCTGTGTATCCCACCATTCCCGACCACTGCCACTCTACCTGTGCTATCACTGGTGACACCAGCATCACTTCTGTGACAATAGACCCAGTCCTATACCACATCCCTTGTACATTCTTATTCAGTTGTGGTCCATGTTTAGAAGGGTCAAGGTGACCTTTACTTGTATTTACTCTGTAGTAAGTTGATTTAAAAAAATGATCTTTTGGGGTAAAAAAAAGGCAAGCTTGATTAGGTTTTATACATTATTTGCTTTTCCCTTAAATCAAGTGGGGCTTTTAGAGGTTAAACAATATTTTAAGGTTTTACAACTTAAAGAGGAACTTTACCCAAATGTTTCAAATGACAACAAAGACACCTTTAAAAATGTTCAGAAATGGCACCATTGATCATTGCCGGCTTTTTATTCTTTGCATATCTTTTTTCTTTCCCCCCCCCCCCCCTTTTACGGGTTACTAAATCTCCCTTTACTTTCTGGAAAAAATAAGTCAAGGCAACTGTACTTGCAGCATTTTGCTTGAAGACATTTCGCTGGTCATCCGACTAGCTTTCTCAATTCCGAATGACTTGTACAAAAATTATCTGGGGATTAAATATGGTGAATGTTGCTCCAATCAACATAATCTGTTAAACATACCCAGCATGGAGTCAGACACCTCACGGAGGTAAGGTGTTGATTGCATTATGTATCACAGATTATGTTGCTGGTTATGTTTAATAGTTTTGTTGATTGGAGCAACATTCACCATATTTATTTCCCAGATAATTTTTGTACGAGTCATTCGGAAAAGCTAGTTGGATGACCAGTGAAACGTCCAGTTGCCTTGATTTATTTTTTACAGATATACCATGACCTGGATGAATGAGAACCCTCACATAAATTTTATTCCTGGAACTCATATGACTAGGACATGTGACCATGCACATCATCTCAGGGGAGGAAAATGCCTTTCCCTGAGATCTTGTGAGATTACAGATAAGATTTCCCATTTGATTTTTAGTAAAAGGGGGTAAAGGTCTGCTATAACTGTAGTAACTGCATTCTATGATAGGAAGAGGGCGCGAATACCAAATGACAGCTGGGATAATGTACACACTAGGCCGGAATAAGGATTGTGTGCGGGTGTGTATGGGGGGTCAAAACTATTGAGGTTGGATTTCAGTTATGTGACACCCAAGTTAGACTAGACACAAAATGCGCAGCTCACCCCAGTCATGCGTCCTTGTAATCCACATTCAGTGGTCGGATAACTCTCTTCCATAGTGGATACCGTAGAAACAGCACAGGATGCTCTTCCAAAAAGGTGTTGATGCGGTTCTGCCTTCGCCTCAAAACTATCAGGGTTATTCACAAAAGTGAAGGGTTTGGAGAGGTGAACAATCTAGGACAACATAGCTGATTAGGAAAAAATTCTCCAATTCAGCTCACTTTCCAGTTCAGCGATGTTGTCCTAGATTGTTCTCTTCTCCTGCCTTCCCCAAACTCTTCACCCTTTTGTGAATAGCCCTGAATGACTAAGGCAGAGGAATGCCAAAATGCGTCAGAGGTTGTCCTTTGTACAGAGGCATGTGGAATAAAATTTGATTCTTTTTGGAAGAGTATCCTGTATCGGTTTTGCAGTTTCATGTTAAACAACATTTTCAGGATTTTTTTATTAACCTTTGCAGTGAAGCTACCCCCACACTGGAAGAATTAAGTGTTCGTTTGTAACTAGGTGCTAAAATAACTAGGGATGCACTGAAAGTTTGGCCGCCGAAACACGTCATTCGAAAATGGCACTTTGGGAAAAATGCCGAAAGTACCATCCTTCTTGCTGGGCACTGCTCTATGTCCCCTCTGACACCTCGCAGTGCCCAGCGGGGAGGAGAGAAACTGTCAGGAGCCCAAGTGGGGCGGGGAGGAGAGTGGTATCATTGTTGTTGTCATAGGAGGCTCAGCTCTTCTCCCGCACCGCCCCGCTCAGCCTTCTGTGACAGAGAGTAAGGATGGAGAGTGGGTACAAGCACACAGCCATCAGCTGATTGGTCACTATTTTCAAATAATTGAGGACATAGTATATTTACTGTGTCCCCAATTATGAATGAATGGGAAGTGATCTACATCACCTCCTGTTCATTCATGATTGTGGACATAGTAACCATACTATCTCCACAAGTTATGAATGAACAGGAGCATGCAGTATAGAGGCTTCCTGTTCATTCATAACCGCTACTGCAGAAAAAGAGATTGAGGACTCTGTGTCCTCAATCTCTTTTTCTATTTTAAAAGGGAAATATCAGGGGTCTTTTTAGATCCCTGATATTTCCACAGAGCCCCCGACAGTAAAGTTAAAAAATAAAAATATTTAATAAAAAAATAATAATAAACAAGTAAAAATAAAATATAAAAAAATACGTTTAGAAAAAAATAAATAAAACTAAATTATTTTCATTTTCTTTTAAAAGGTTAGAAAAAAAATTATTTTCGGTTTTGGCCTGACATTTTTTTAATTTCGTTTTATTTATTTTAGTTTCGGTTTGAAACATTTCGATGAACCTCTAAAAATAACAAATATATACTCACCCAAAACTCTGAGCCGACCAGCTGTCACAGGGCTCTCTCCAGCCTGTCCCCTCCTCCACAGCACTTTGGAAATTTCCTCAGTGTCCTCAAATGTATGCGCAGTGTATAGACGTTGATGATTTACTGGACCCTAGACTGCTGCAGGGGAGGAGGAGATACATTCCAGGGACAGGTCTAAGAAGAAGCTAGCTGGGAACTTTGGGTGAGTCTCTTAATCCGATCTTTTTCTTCTTTCCTGTCCTTTTCAGCCTTCTCTCAAGCGCTGCAGCGGGTCTCCGATCCAGCGCTGACTCCTCTGTGCATGCTGGCACTTCCTATCCCACGGTGTCTGCATGTGGGTGTACGCCGTCCATAGACTTATCTTGTGCCTCTCTTCGTCTCCTGGTCGAAAATCTTTCGACCAGGGCAGCCCCAAGATCCTTTGTGGCTGCCCGAGATTTTTTAGATATTCGGACCCCCGACCCCCGACCTCCATCCATCTCCCAGTCCTCTTCTGCCAGTGGGCAGCAGGACCCCCCAGTTAGTAGCCCTGGGTCGGCCGCTCCGGCTGCACTGCCGGTAATTCCGCTCTGGGTCTGTCCATGGCTGTGCCTGTTCTGGAAAGGAGGAGGAGGAGATAAAGAACCGGACAGGCACTGCCATGGACAGCTATCTGCAGGTCCCCAGCAGGCTACCGACATCCCCACAAGTGTGGGAACTCAGCAGCTGCTGCGACTTAAAAATGTAAAGGGCTGATATTGGCCTTAAGAATCAGGGCATTTTCACAAGTACAAATACTTGTGAAAGTGCCTGGTATTGGCCACGATACTAGTATCGGTATCGGGTAGGGTTGCACAGATACCAAGTACAGTACGAGTACATGTACCGATACTTTTGAGCTCCAAGACTAGACTAGAGAA